TAAAGGAAATAATGGATACAGTGGTCCATTTCCAAAACAAAGTGCCTTGGATAGGTTTGAGTCCTCAAACTACAGAACAGACTCTACTAGGCCCCTGCTTTGACAGCCGGTGCCTGCTTGTCAGGGTGCCCTTAGTTGCCCTAACCCAAAGCAAAAAAGTTTAGTCTAGAATGAAAGTTTACTAGCCTGTAAAATAGCTCAATTTGTCTATTCTCATCAGCTTGCCTGACTACCTAGGTCGTAAGCCAAATACTTAAAAAAATCCTAAGCTGACTATGATTGCAGTGCATTGTGGGCTGCCACAAAATGTACCTCTAAAGAAAACACCTAAAAACCCCTACCCAACAACCAATAGGTGACATCTGGGAAGACTGTGACCCCACAGCCACAGTACTCAGCCTATGAGGAACCAGGGAGGGTCCTGCGTGCTAGGGGATAGATTGCTTGTTGTGGCTGTGCTGCGTGTGCCTGCCAACCGTACACTCCATCTTGCAAGACTGTCATTAAAAGTCTCTCTTCCAAGCCAGGCGTGGTGGTTCACGCCTGTAATCTCAGCTGAGGTGGGTGGATTATGAGGTCAGGAGTTTGAGAGCAGCCTGACCAACACGGTGAAACCCCATCTCTACTAAAAATACAAAAATTAGCCAGGCATGGTGATATACACCTGTAATCCCAGCTACTCAGGAGGTTGAGGCAGGAGAATCGCTTGAACACGGGAGGCGGAGGCTGGAGTGAGCCGAGATCACGCTATTGCACTCCAGCCTGGGTGACAGAGTCAGACTCCGTCTCAAAAAAAAAAAAAAAAAAAAAAAAAAAAAATGCTCTCTTCTGCTGTTTTCCGTGCCTCTGAGTCCATTCTTTGGGTTTGGATGGGTAGGTTGGTTTCTCACAGGCCTGATTACCTGGTCTCACACCTCACCTCCCCAGACCAACTTCATCACCCGCCTCTATCCCAATGCAGTCCCACTGCCAGCCTCAGCCTCTGACCAGAGCTCCAACAGGGAATGGGCCATCACCTGCCCGCCTCCCCCCGGCATGTCCCACAGTCCCTCACGTGACATCCACTTCCTGAGCCTGTCATCTCCCTGTGTCCCCACTGGCTCCTCCACTTGTATGTCCCATCTCAGCGAGGGCCCCACCACCCATTCGGTCCCCAGACACTCCACACATGCTACCAAGTCCTCGGCTGGGTCCTTGGAAAATGGTCGTTCTTCACTCACTCATTCAACAGATACGACCAGTGTGTTTATAGCACAGTGTGGGCCTGCAAGCCCCGTGTGCAGTCACACTGCCTTGGGTTTGGATTTGGGCTCTACCGGTTTCCAGTTAGTGACCTTGGGCAAAGTATTCAACCTCTCTGTGCCTCAGCTTCCTCTGTAAAATGGCATGGGAAGTCATGCCAACCGCACGTGACTGGGGTTAGGTGAACTGATGGGGTGTGGGGTGCATATTTAATTGTCCAGTAATGACGACAGCTATAGTAATTGACGACAGCTATAGTAATTGACGACATCAACAGTAATGATGACAGCTCCCTTTAAGGGGCAAGTATAAGTGCCTGGTCCCTCTGACTCCTCACCAAGACCCCCAGGGTTCAACTCTGAAATGTCACTTTGCTGGGTGCCTGGCGTAAACATTCATTATTCCGGAGGAAAGGAGTCTTGGTTAGAATGAGTTTGGCCTCTGAAAAACAGATCCACCAGACTTGGACCCAGTGTCCTCCAGTCTGATGAGAGGGCGACACCTGCTGCTGAAAAGCTGGATGTGCAGCCAAAGGCCTCCTTTTTCCTTGAGGGTCTCAAACTCTCTCTGCAGCCTTGTCCTTGGGGTCTTCAGGAGAGGGGAAGAAGCATATGTCACCCGGACTGCACTGTATCCTCCTCTCTAGTCCAAACCATTACTCTCCTTTGTTTGGATTAAGGCTCAACCTCCTGTGCCTCCTCCCATGCAGGCAGAAGGGTTGGAGGGATCCTTTGCAAAGGCATGTCTGGCCATGATGCTGTCTGCTCAGTTTCCAGTGCTGCCATCTGGGAATAAGATCTAAAGGTCTGGCTGGGCGCTGTGGCTCACGCTGTAATTCCAGCACTTTGGGAGGGCATCAGGGGCGTGGTGGGGGGGCGGATCACTTGAGGTCAGGAGTTCAAGACTAGCCTGGCGAACATGGTGAAACCCTGTATCTACTGAAAATACAAAAAATTGGCCGGATGCGGTGGCTCATGCCTGTAATCCCATCACTTTGGGAGGCTGAGGTAGGCAGATCACCTGAGGTCAGGAGTTCAAGACTAGCCTGGCCAACATGGTAAAACCCTGTCTCTACTAAAAATATAAAAAATTAGCCAGGCGTGGTGGTGGGCACCCATAATCCCAGCTACTTGGGAGGCTAAGGCAGGAGAATTGCTTGAATCCAGGAGGCAGAGGTTGCAGTGAGCCGAGATTGCACCATTGCACTCCAGCCTAGGCGAGAGAGCGAGACTTCATCTCAAAAAAAAAAAACAACACAAAAACTAAAGGTCTTGTTGCACCCTGCCAGGCCTCACAGGATGCAGCTCCTGCCACTTTGCTTTTTTCTTTTTCTTTTCTTGCTTTTTTTTTTTTTCTTTGAGACAGCTTTGCTCCATCACCCAGGCTGGAGTGCAATGGCAAGATCTCAGCTCACTGCAACTTCTGCCTCCCAGGTTCAAGTGATTCTCATGCCTCAGCCTCCCGAGTAGCTGGGATTATAAGCACCAGCCACCATGCCAGGCTAATTTTTGTATTTTTAGTAGAGATGGGGTTTCACCAAGTTGGCCAGGCTGGTCTCAAACTCCTGACCTCAGGTGATCCTTTCCCTGCACTGCTGTCTCAGCCTCCCAAAGTGCTGGGATTACAGGCATAACCCGCGTGCCTGACCTCCTGCCACTTTTCTGATCTGTTAGTTGTGTGTGTGTGCATTGCCTGTGTCCCCCACCTAGAGGATAAGCTCTTTCGTGGCTGGGCCTCATTGTCTTATTCATTGCTCCATCGCATGGTCTAGCCTAGAGCCTGGCATTTAGTGGGTGCCCAATAAATACTTGGTGAGTAAATGAATGAATGATGATTATCCTAGCCGGACTGAATGACAGGTCCTTCTGCCCAGAGCACTCCCCACTTGCTCCCCCACCCCACCCTTTTGTATAGCTTAGTCACTGGTCAGATCTCACTTTAGGCATCACTTCCTGCAGGAAGCCCTCCCTGATCTCCTCTCTCCAGAGTGGGCTGGGTGCCCTCCAGCCTCACTCTGTTTTGCCCTCACTGCTGCACTTCTCAGAAGCTATGGCAATTATCTGCTTTTTTTTTTTTCTTTCTTTCTTTTTGAGATTGATTTTCACTCTTGTTGTCCAGGCTGGAGTGCAATGGCATGATCTCAGCTCACCACAACCCCCACCTCCTGGATTCAAGCGATTTTCCTGCCTCAGCCTCCCTAGTAACTGGGATTACAGGAGTGCACCACGATGCCTGGGTAAATTTGTATTTTTAGTAGAGACAGGCTTTCTCCATGTTGGTCAGGCTGGTCTCAAACTTCCGACCTCAGGTGATCTGCCCGCCCCGGACTCCCAAAGTGCTGGGATTACAGCGATGAGTCACCACCCCCAGCCAATTGTCTGCTTTCTTTCTGGCTTCCTCCACCTGGCTGTGAGTTCCTTGAGGACAGAGTTACATTTATTCTCTGTGGGTCTCTGTCTGGAAGAGACGCTGCCAGGAGGATATGTACCTTACAGTTATGAGCAAGAATATGAACACCAGACTCGCCTGAGTGCTAATCTCAACAGTACCAGTCTATGGAACCTTGAATGCATTCTTCGACCTCTCTGTGCCTCAGCTCTCTAACCTATAAAATGGTCACAAATATAGTGCCCATGTCATTTATCTGACGCAGAGTAAACGATCGATACATGTTAAATGTTAGTGGCTGGTATTTGTAGGAACCTAGTAAAACAGTCATTGAATAAATTAATGACCGGGTACAGTGGCTCACACCTGTACTCTGAGCACTTTGGGAAGGTGAGGCGGGAGGATAACTTGAGGCAAGGAGTTCAAGACCAGCCTGGGCAGCACAGTGAGATTTCCTCTCTACTAAAACTCAAAGAAGTTAAGCTGGGCGTAGTGGTGCACCTATAATCTCAGCTACTTGGGAGGCTGAGGGCAGGAGGATCACTTGATCCCAGGAGTTTGAGGCTGCAGTGAGCTGTGATTGTTCCACTGCACTCCAGCCTGGGTGATAGAGTGAGATCCTGTCTCTAAAATAAATAAATGAAAACTCTGATTTTTATCTGGGAGCCTTGAAACTGACTTCCTTAAATGGGTTGATTTAGGGTTTCACACAGCACTGTGCCTCTCTTAGACTTACACACACCCTCAAAGCCACATCAGTAACCCCACCTCCTGCTCAGGGAACACGGTTGCCTTGGGGGGAGTGAACCTCCTCCAGCCACCTTTTTTTTTTTTAATCCCTAGAGGGCACCTTGGGCCTGGTATGCAGTAGATGCTTAATAAATATCTCTTATTTTCATTAGTTCAAGTATGATACTCTATTTCTGAGCACCTCCCTCCTTTTTGAGAAACCAGTTCCCCTTATTTGGCATCTCAGATTCCCAGGACCCACCTGGACTGCCTTCTGGGATGGAGTCTCCTGGAGCCAATTTCCCTGAGCCTCCCAGCCCCCACTGGCATGCCCTTGAATCTCCCTGTGTGCTGTCCCATGCCTTTGCAGTGACCTACACACTTGCCTCTCAGCTAAGGTGGCGGCAAGCCCGTCACGCTGGGGCATGCTGACCACCCACTCTGGCCTGCCCTGGGGTAAGATAACTACAGGTGGCCCTGGGGAGGGTGGATTTTCTCAGCGCTGGCTCCTTCTCATCTTTCACATCACACTCTAATTGTTACCTATGCAGAGAGGCCCTTCCCAAGCACTGTATCGGGAAAGCTCTTCACCCCCGTCACTCTCCATCTAGCATCTTGTTTCAGTTCCTGCCCAGCACACATCACTGTTCAAAATCATCTTCTTTATTTATTTGGTTACTTTATTTATTTGGGGTGGATTCCCTCCACCCCAAAAATACCAGCTCCAAGAAAACCATGGTATCTCCCCAGCACTTAGCAGGGCCTGGCTCATAGAAGGTCCTCCAGTAATATTTGCTGTATGAATGAGTGAGTCTCTGCATATGCAGGTGCCTTATCCTGCCTCTGCCACTCGATGGCTGTTTCAGAGGTCCCTTATTGGATCTAATGATCTTTCCTTGGTTCAGGCATGAAAGACTCCTGCTTAGCTGGGGAGGCAGGGCCAGGCCTTGGGAACTGCAGCCTCTGGGCGTAGGAGCCTGGCCCTTCCAGCTAATCGGCCTGCCCACAGACACAAGAGGAGAGGGCTTTCAGCGAGTCCTTGACTGTTCCCCAAGTTGAAGACCTCACAGGCATAGCCTTCAAGTGTCTCCCCTTAGCCTCGGGAACCTCCTGGGGACAGAGCGGACTGACCGGGAAGGAAGCTGAGGCCGTAGTCCCTCTGCAGGGCGGCAGGGTGGCCCTGGCTTGGGCAAGGCATCCCCCACCCGTGGGGGTCACCCGAGTCAGATGGGGCCAGTTTTCCCCACAGAACACGATGTAGGTCTTCATTGGTGGGGAGACAAGCCCTCGATTGGGACTGGGGGCTTGGGGTGGTGATGGGGTTGCTGCCAGGGAGAGCTGCTTCCCGTGGGCACAGTCAATAACAAAAGTCAGGTGAGCTGTGGGGACAGTCTTCTGATGCCTGGCCAACTTCCCACCTAGAAGTGAGGAAAAGACCAAAGGTTTGTGTTAGCATAAGCAAGGGACTTTTTTTGCCCCCCGAGACTCCGCTCTGTCGCCCAGTGAGCAGGATCGTGGCTCACTGCAGCCTCAGCCTCAGGGTGCTCAAGCAATCCTCCCATCTCAGCCCCCTAAGTAGCTGGGACTACAGGTTCATGCCACCATGCCCAGTGAATTTTAATTTTTTTTAATAGAGATGAGGTTTCCCTATGCTGCCCAGGCTGGTCTCAAACTCCTGGACTCAAGAAATCCTCCTGCCTCAGCCCAATCAGTACTGGGATTGCAGGCGTGAGCCACGGTACCCTACCGGGACATGGTTTCATTAATTCATTTGTTCATTCATTCTATAGGGTTTAACTGAGTTGGTTGATACACAAACAGAAGAGGACAGTCAGGGTTTAAACTTCTGGATTTCAGCATCAGAGAGACCTGAGTTCAAGTTTCCACTCACCATCCATCCATCTACCTTCCAGGAGCACAGAGTCCAACATGTTAGTGCCTCTCAACTTTGCTGTTCCCGTGAGCTGCCTGGGGAGCTTGTTAGAATGCAGAGTCTAGTGCAGTGGGGCTGGGGTGGAGCCCGAGATTTGCATTTCTTGCAATCCCCCCCAGGAGATGCCAATTCTGCTGGTCCATGGACCATATTATGAATAGCACAGTCTTCGACCCAAGAGAGAAAGGCCCTGGCCATCTTTCCAGGTGAGGAAACTGAGGCCCAGCTTGCACAAGCGCTGGTCGGTCTCAGGGAGCATCATGATACTCTTCTCCTCCCCACACAATCTTATCCACAGCCTCAGAGAATCCCATCAGTGCCTGGTGGCATCTGCCCTGGCAAACCCCTGCCCAGAGCCCAGCACAGGGTACAGGGATGGATAAACTAGCCAATAGATTTATCAATGAAGCAGGTATCTGAGCAAGCGTATCTGAATGCAAAGCCTGTGCTCTTAAAAAGGTAACTTTTTGAGTTACCCAAAATAACACACACCTCCATTCTTTTAGCTACGTGCTGGGAACCACAGCATGGATTCAGAAGGAAGCTTACATTCTAGCAGATTGGCTAACACAGGAAATAAAAGAAGCCCGCCCTTGGCTTGAGAATTCCGGTAACCCGAGGGAGGTAGCATGTCTGCCATCAAACCCCCGCCCCCAGCTGGTCTTTCTTTTTTTTTTTTTGAGATGGAGTCTTGCACTGTGGCCCAGGCTGGAGTGCAGTGGCGCGATCTCGGTTCATTGCAAACTCCGCTAACCGGGTTCAAGCAATTCTCCTGCCTCAGCCTCCCAAGTAGCTGTGATTATAGGTGACTGCTACACGACCCAGCTAATTTTTTGTATTTCTAGTAGAGACAGGGTTTCACTATGATGGCCAGGCTGGTCTCAAACTCCTGACCTCATGATCTGCCCGCCTCAGCCTCCTAAAGTGCTGGGATTACAAGCGTGAGGCACTGCGCCCAGCCCCCAGCTGGTCTTTCTGTGGGGATGGGGTAGCTTTGCCACCTCTTACCAGAGCTGGTCTCCAGGCTCGTCTCACGGATGGTGCCTTTCAGGCTGGCTCTCCAGTCCCTGGGGTCTTCTGAGGGGGCCATGCCGCTACCTCGGCGCCTGCCTATCTCTGGCAGGAGGGGAGCTGTCCTCGGCCACTCTTCCAGGATGTGGCTCCCCCACTGCGGAACCAGACCTTTTATACTGACCGGATCTGGATTCTCTGAGTGCATTCCACCAGGAGCCAAAGGAACTGGCCCAGAGCAGTCAGGGAGTCGCTTTGATCAACAGGGTTATGTCAACAGGATTATTGTTGGGTCAGTGGGAGGCAGGCCTCCTACAGGACAGACGAAACAGACACTATTTCTACCAAGGGCAGCTGCTTCCTGATTTGGGATAGGCCTCTGGAACCGTCTCATCCAGCCTCAGTTTCCCAAACTCAGTCATTATCCAGTGGTTCCACTAGTTTGATTTTTCCCCCATTCTAGGAACTATATGTAATATTACTTACTTCACATGTCCCTGAAATCAGTCAACTGTGTTTACTGAAAAAGAAGTGCACTTTATTTATTTATTTATTTTGAGACAAAGTTTTGCTCTTGTTGCCCAGGCTGGAGTGCAATGGCACAATCTCGGCTCACAGCAACCTTCACCTCCCAGGTTTAAGCGATTCTCCTGCCTCAGCTTCCCAGGTAGCTGGTATTACAGGCATGTGCCACCACACATGACTAATTTTGTATTTTTAGTAGAGACGGGGTTTATCCGTGTTGGTCAGGCTGGTCTCGAACTCCTGACCTCAGGTGATCTGCCCGCCTTAGCCTCCCAAAGTGCTAGGATTATAGGCGTGAGCCACCGCGCCCAGCCGGAAGTACACTTTATTTTTATTTTATTATTATTATTATTCGAGATGGAGTCTTGCTCTGTTGCCCGGGTTGGAGTGCGGTGGTGTGATCTCAGCTCACTGCAACCTCTGTCTCTGGAAAGTGGGAGGGGGTTTGTTGGAGGCATCTTGCCCACATCCCCCTCTTGCCTGCACAGCGTGTCCAGCACACACCCACTGAGTGCCTGTCCTGAGGACCCAAACTGTGGGTCCTGTGGGCCTACTGTGCTTTCTTAGAGTCCAGGAGGAAGAGGGGGAAGAAAAGGTCCAAGCAAAAGGCCCATGTAGTAGGGTCGGGGGTCCAGGCAGTCCGCCACGACTGACTGCCCAGAGGGTGACTCAGGAGGTCCCAACGCTTCCTTGTTTCCTTATAGAGACCACAGAGTTCCTGAGAACTGCATTGTCGTCCAGGGCCCAGGTATGGGAGAACTGGTCCTGAAAACGTGCCCATGGGCCAGACCTGGACATCCTCATGAGGCACTCTAGGGAAAGGGTGGGCATCAGGCCGGGAGAGTTCCCTGGGAGGGGTCAGAGCCCATATCCCATTGCCATCTCCCACTGGGTGGTGCAGGATCCTTTTGTGGCCACCCCAGGCATCCAGATGGGCACCAGAGGCTGTGGCTGGGGGGCAGCCTGGGCAGGGAAGTGCTCACCACACTCCCGACTTTCATCTGGGTCATGTGGGGGATGGGCCCCGAAGTGGGGGATATGTCACTGCGCCCTGCCCAGCCCACCCAGCCAGACCTCTCTCTGAGCCAGAGCAGAGGATCATGTGGACAGTGAGAGGAAGCTGCCACAGTCGGGGTCTGACCCCAGTGCTCCCCAGGCCCCACTGGGCACACGTGGACTTACTCCTCTGAACCTTAAAGGCAGCGTGTGCCATTGGCATCAACACCTGTTCCCCTTCTAGCAAGTACATGTCCCAAAGGCTCAGGGTGAGCCCAAGAGAGATCTGTGGGGACAGCAGGCATGGGAGGACCTGGCCCTTCTAGGCTGGGGGCTGGTGGTTCAAGCTGGGCCCATTGGGGCTGCAGTCCCCCAGAGTCAGTGACCCTTCCCATGAGAGTCATCAGACCCCTCCAGGAGGCTGGGTCAGACAAGGTCTTGCAGCTCCTTATGGCGGGCACTCATTTCAGTGGGGATATGGCTTCTGGAGAGGGGCTTCTCCAGGGCTGGAGGCTTCCCTGAGCCCTCCTAAGTGGGTCCTGGCCCAGTCTGCCCATGAGGCTGCGCCTGAGCCCCAGCCTCTGCCGTGGGATGACCCCTCTTGGGGGGAGGGTTTTGAGTGTGTGTGCTGCAGGAATCTACCTATGCCTCCTGTGGGCTGGGGGTGAGCTGGATCCCTGGGTTGGGGGAGCAGGGCACTGTAGGGCAAGGAGGGTCCCTGAGCCGGGGTCTGCCTGTGCCTCTTACCCCCTCCGTCAGGCTCCAAAGAAGCTGACCTAATGAGGAACCCTGAAGCCATAGCCCTTCCTTGTCCTGATGGGAGGAACCGAGGTGCTCAGGTCCCTCTGGGCTGCCCTAAAAACCTCCCTCTCCTAGGGCCCTCTGAAGACCCTTCCCCACGTGCAGAATACTGGGTGGTGTCCGGGCTCCTTACACCTTCCCCTTCCCGCACTCATGCTGGACACACAGCCTAGGCCTGCTCCGCGGGAGCCGGCCCCTGTGCCTCTGTCTCCTCCAGGCGGGAAAGGTAACCCAACTCCAAACTCATGGAGAACCCCATGCCCATGTCAGGCCCCGGCTGGAGCTCAGCCTCTCACCAGCCCAACTAGGGTCTCCAACCCTGGCTCCTCTGGCCCCACAGGATGCAGGGTCTGGGGGAAGAGCTGGGAGGACCATAAACTCACCACGTGCCTCATGGTCTTAGGGTGTGACATGGGTACTTCATGCTCCTGGTGGCCTTGGGGCCCCTGGATCCTCACACCATTTGGACTGTGGAATCCTGGGAGGCCCCCAGCCCATGTCATGACATCAGCCCACTTCTAAGATGTGGAGCCATCAGCTGGAAGAGCTGGACAGCTGCAGAGGCCCCCAGACCCCAAGGCCTCCCACCCCCCCATCTGGTGACCCCACCATGCAGCCTTGGCCTTGGGGAGGAGGGGTGGGACTATCCCCTGGAGCCTGGCTGGAGGTGCTCTGGAGGCCTCCTGGCATCAACAGGAGGAGAGAGAAAGAGAGATGGGGAGGAGGGAGTGAGATCAAGGAGAGGAAGGGAGATGGGGAGGAGGGAGTGAGATCAAGAGAGAGGAAGGGAGATGGGGAGAGAGATTGAGGAGGCTGAGAGGAAGAGGAGGGAGAGAGACATAAAAGTAAAGAGAGACACACAGAGAGAGGTACATGAGCAGGGTGAGCAAGCCTGACTTTGAGGCTTGCTCAAAGGGCCGGTGCTGGGCTTCCTGGTCATCTCCTGGAAGTGGGGTTGGGCCGGGGGACACAGGGTGTGGAGACACTGCCATCAGGGCTTCATCGGCCCATCTGTGGGCACCAAGGCAGCTGGAGCCCGGCCAGCTGGAGGGCAGGAGGACTCTCAGGGAGGAGAGAGTCAGCTGCATAGAGTCAGAGCCAGAGGGGGTGGCTCCAGGACACAGAGGATGGCCATGGGGATGATAAAATGCCCTCTGCTGATAGGGGTGAAAGGCAACTGACTTGGGATCTGGGGTTCCCCATTCAGCCTGGGCTCCTGTGGGACCCTCAACAGAGACATCCTAAAGGCTCCAAACAAGCTGACAACACAAGGAAGGTGCCTTTGCTGAAAGTTTAGGTCACCTGGCCAGGGTGGCTGTCCCCAGGTCTGGCTGCATGAGGCCCTGGGGGCAGCTGTTCACCTACCCTACGGGGAGTGCCTCTCACCGGCCAGCAGCTGGACCAGTGCCCAGAACATGTCCTCCTCAGGCAGATAAAGGAGGAGCAAGGCAGCGACATGGCTCAGGTCCCTGCAGTAGTCCACCTCCTGTGAGAGCCAGAGTCACGGTGGAAGGACATCACCTGAGAGGGCTGAGGTCACCTGGGAGGACTCATGTCATTGGAGGAGGCAGAGGTGACTGGGGAGGCTTCCCCTGAAGAAGAGGCTTCCTCAGGATGCAAATTCATTTCATGACAAGAGGCATGTCCATCAGGCACTTCAGCAACTTGTCCAGGATGTCACTGAGAGCACTGTCCAGTGTGTAACACTGCCAAGCTTTGAAGCCCGGTGGTTGCCCTTAGTTTCTAGATCCAGAGAGACTTCTGGAGCCTGTGCCTGGGGCTTTCTAGGGGTGGAGGTGGCGGGGGCAGGGGGAAGGGTGGCAGAGGAGGCCTTGCATGGCAGGGTGCAGGGCAGGAAACTGGCCAGGGACCGGTTTGCAGTGGCCGCTAGCATCCCACCCCCACCTCTAAACCCACCCCTACCCAACCCTGGTGCAGGGTCAGGCCTGGCCAGGTGTCCCCCGCTTTGGCCTCAGCAGATCACAAGGTGGAAGCCAGCAGCCCGGCGGGTGCGCCACTCGAGCCAGTGGTGACCTACAGCTTCTGCTCATGGAGCGTGGAGCACCCACCCAAGAAAGCCCAGGCACTCCCCATGCCCCACGCCCCTGAGCTTGAGGGTGCAGGGAGATGGGGGCCAAGGTCCTGCAACCCCGTGCATGCATCCCCAAAGGTGGCCTAGGAGTCCTGTGTGCACCTGCCCAGGTGTGCCGCAGAAGCCTCAACAGTGGCAGGGAGTGAGACGAGGAGGAAGAGAGAAGTGGAGAAGAAGGAGAGAGAAAGAGATGGGGAGGAGGAGTGAGATCAAGAGAGAGGGAGAGAGATCTGGAGAGAGACAGAGGAGGCTGAGAGAAAGAGGAGGGAGAGAGACATAAAAGGGAAAGAGAGACACAGAGAGAGAGGTACATGAGCAGGAGGTTGGGTCACTCTTGATTCCAGTTCCCAGTGCAAACTTAGGCACTATCACCTCACCACACATGCAATAAAGTCTTCTGCCTGCTGCTTACAACCAGCGAGAACCCTTTTCCTGGAGAATAAAACCGTTTTTTTGTTGTTGTTGTTGAGACAGAGTCTCTCTCTGTTGCCTAGGCTGGAGTGCAGTGGCAAGATCTCGGCTCCCTGAAACCTCCACCTCCTAGGCTCAGGCGATTCTTCTGCCTCAGACTCCCGAGTAGCTGGAATTACAGGCGCTCGCCACTGCAAACGATAATTTTTGTATTTTTAGTAGAGACAGGGTTTCATCATGTTGGCCAGGCTGGTCTCAAACTCCTGGCCTCAGGTAATCCGCCTGCCTCGGCCTCCCAAAGTGCTGGGATTACAGGGGTGAGCCACCGTGCCTGGACAAATAAAACCTTTGACCTTTCCTCACTGGATTTTGGTTGTGTCTTCTG